TATATATAGGTGTAGTAGTACCTCTTCGGGCTCTTGTACACCTTTTTCTTGCTACGGGTGCGTGTTCTTTAGATCCTCGGATGGCTCTAGCACTTTCGTGACCACGGGCCGAGAGTCTTGCTAGATTTTGGCGTTTAGCAACTGGCATACGGTTTAATGTGAAGTCAACAACAACAACAACGGTATAAGAGAGAATTATCTTAAACAGTATCTCACTATACGAGAATATTCTCTTATATCGTAGACAAAACTAAAGGTCGTGAAACAGGGACTCTCGCGCACTGACTACACTCGAATGCCAAAATAGGTCATGAAGAGAGCGTATCATGCATGTCACTTGCGCAGCTAGCGTTACCACGTCGGGCTACCTCCAAACACCGCTCATTCTCTTGGTTGGCAAGCACGTGGACCCAAGTACTGCTGTACGTGGTACGCTTTTGGTGGATCTGCGTTCGGAAAATAAATCATCGTTGTGTGATGCGATGCACATTTTGCACGTGGACACGTAAAAGGTTTTTGGTTGAGTTGTTTAATAGATGTGTTTCATAGTCGCACCTCTTCTAGAAGGACAACACGAGGCAACGAATGCACCAGCACTCAAGAACGACGCACCCGTTTACACAATGCACCCCTTCCTCCCACCGTACCCTCAACATAACACCCTCATACCTCTCATCCCATCGATTTAAACCCCCGACAAAAACACAAGTCAACGAAAAAAAAAGAGCTTCACAATATCAAAACATCACTCACTCGCCGTACAAATAACACAAACCCAACCAAGAAACCAACGGGAGGACAGGCAGTTGTGGCAGATGCGATGCATCTCGGAGGTGCCCTGAGGGTCCACCACACCACAGGTGCCATGGAGGTACTGCCCGCAGACTCCTCTACATTGGTGATTTGTGAACGCCGGCGGGCCTGGCGTGTGATCGGGGACAGCCGTGCAGCGACTGCCCGCCGCGCAGGGCATGGTGTCTGCAGCTGTGTGGGTGTGTGATGTGTGTGTGTGTGTCCACGTGGTTTCCATATTGTTCGATTTAAGAGAAAAATCCCAGCTGCAATAGGAAATTTCTCTTAAATCGATTTTGATTGGTACAAGCCAATTCCTCTCTCTTAAATCCGTGCTTTCTCTTGAATAAGTTCTCTTAAACCGTAGCCGCTACTGTACGTTGGAATATCGGTGGAATATCGGTATCGGTTGGTCCAACTACTACCCCTTTCGTGGTTGTAGGACATCAAGAACAGTAGTGTCCAGTATGAATACTGCTGGTGACCCGGTTTCAACAAGATAGTTCTCACAGGGGGTGCGCTGAGGTTGAAGGCTTGGGTCTGTTGTCAACCATTATTGTTGGGGGCAATGTTTCCTGGGGGTCTTCTCAAACCTCCCTGCCGTGCATGCTGGTGGCTCTTCTTCCAGAGTAATTTGTTAGGTGTACCGAGTCTGGTTACGCAGTAGTGCGTATCACACACACCACATAAGGCTGGGGTTGACCACTTTTTTTTTTTTGTGTATTTATTGTCTGTTCGTGACTCTTTAGGTCTGCCCGGTGTTGAAGGCTAGGACACACCGTGGTCGACCTATAGCCCACCTATCCCAATCCTTACCCACGGCCAACGCATGGCCTAGCGGCCGCGAATTTGCGAGAACGGTGGAAGGGCGCTGGACAGGGTCAAGCCTAGGAGCCAACGCCTGGCCAGTCAGTGGGCGTGAAACAGCGTAGATATGAAGAGTCACCAACAGACCGTATTGCACCCAGAATCGCACCCACATACTACATTGTAGCCTCCGAAGAGTTAGAGCGGAAAGACCCGCAGAACTCTGGGAGTAACAGCAGCGTGGCGGGTCATTTCCACAAACCAGACCCAGAGCGTGCAGCATAACAAGGAGTAGGCTGTAGTTGGGGTTGCGTTGGTTTGCAGCCGTGTGTAGATGGGGCTGCGGCCAGTGAGCTCCCTGAACTGCGCGGGCCGGGAATACCCACCTATTAGTAGCACATACCTCGGCGGGAGGGGGGCAAAACCACAAAGAACGCTGAAAACAAGGGGTCATGAATTTCTCCCAACAGCAACAACAACAACAACAACAACAACAACGCCCAATCTAGCCGGACATCAATTGATTACTGCGCGTCTCTGGGTAAGAAGTCTGTTTCTTTTTTTTTTTTCTTTGTACATGAGCGCTGTAGAATTTCGGCGCGGTACGTGAGCTCAATCCGTCGTCACACAGAAGGTTCATTCGCTGACCTGACCACTAGAAGGTTAAGGTTGGGAGGTTACCAACTATCTATTATGAAGTACGAGTAATAGACTACCAGGCGACCGGCTGCTGGGGTGTGAGAATCCGGATATACAAGCGGTGGAGTTGGCAGGATGTCTTGTTGAAAATATCGAGAAACACCTGCATATTTCGATTTTCCAAAGCCTAACTCTAAGACGAATCTACCATCGCGCCGAAACCGTCCGCAGACGTGGCTGGTGTTCAATATTCGTAGCTAAGATTGTAGCCCTTATGTGATAGATGCACTATTGTAGTGTACAGATTTTTTGGCCCAAGATTTTCGAAGCTACTGTATCCTTTTTTTTGGTCGAGCTCGGTGTGAGCGACGAGCAGGATTTTTGAAGCTGCTGTGCGATCCGCTTGTTGTTCGAACGCTTGAAAGGGTTCTGGGCTCCTCCCTTCAGCCTCTTGTGTTGCACTTTCATGCTCCCCCGATGAAGGATCTACAAAGAGGCGAGTGTTTTGGGATTTGAATCGTGAAATCCCACGACACGAGATTGATTTGGCTGGTGCCTGCCCAATCGGTCACTGGGGTGTTGAGTGCGCGTGTCAAGAAATTAATGCTAAAATGCATACGGCAGTTACCCCCCGCGAAAGTTGACGTGTTGGAGGCAGTTATTGATCCGGTCCACACAGGCAGGGGACGGTTACGCTCAACATCAGGCATGCCCCGTAGCTGCACCGCTGCGCCACACTCATGAAAGGTTTAACCTACCCATTGTGGTGGCGGGACTCCGAAATCGCTGTTTTGGATGCCCAGTCAGTGCTCACATCCAACAGAGCCGAACGCAGCCACGTCTCAAAACTTATTCAGTCCTGCACTCGCCCCCCACCCCCCTATACTACGTAGGCGGGCACAGTACGGATCCACCAACTCACTCTCTTCTCAACCCCAAGCGGCCGCGGACGATAGGGCGGCGGCGGCGGCGCAATCATCGCGCCCGGGCGAGACCACCGGCCTCCTCCCGTCCAGGAGCGGGACTATCCAGGAGGATTGGGCCGTCGGCGGGAGGCCCGCCGGCGGGCTGAGGAGCGTGGGGTTCTCTGATACGGTGGAGCTCGCGTCGTTCGAGCATCTCCTCGAGAAGGAGATCGACAAGGCAAGGAGACGCGAGGGTTGCTGTGGTTTTGGTTGGTCTTGGTCTTGAGGAGCAGGCAAGGAGTGTTCATGGTCTTGAAACGTAAAGGAACGCGAGTGTTTGTAAGTGCTTATGGTTGGTCTTGTGGACAAGTCAAGGCGCGATTATTGTTGTGATTTTGGTTGGTCTTGGTCTTGAGGAGAGCAGGCAAGGAGCGTTGTGGTCTTGAGAAGAAGTCAAGGAACGCGAGTGTCGTTGTGGTCTTTGTCGGTCTTGAGGAGATGGGCAGGGCAAGGTATCAGTGGTGCGTGTTTGGTCTTGACATTGTGGGGATCGTGGTGTTGCCGTCGTGGTTTGTCCAAGAAGAAAAGGATTCCAAACAAAGTCGTGCACGCAAATTTGAAGGCGGGCACCGCAGGGGGGGAGGGGACGGACGGAAAGAACTGCGGAATACCGTAGGTTGCATGAGGTATCACTCCCTCTGGCCCGATTTTCGAAGCTCGCTCGGCAGGAAACGCGTTGACGGTGCCGAAAATGGCGGCGTTGGAACCGTCTCGTGGAGAGCTTTTCGACAACGTATCCTTTGATTCCAGCGTCCTCTTCGCCGGTGGAGCAATACGGCTTTGGAAATCATTCAAAGGGGTGTGGTATCTTTCGCAACCTACGGTACCCATTCGATACATGTTTCTCAGAAGGGATGTTTTTGGAAACTACTCTAGGCGAAGATTTGAATGGCACCTGCTGCTGTGAAGGTGACCTTGGGAAGGAAAGGTCCCATCTCCGCGACACCTAGGTACATCGAGGACGATTGATTTTCCTCTGTAAACTGGCGTCATCGTCATGAATTTCTTTTCCTTGCACCCGCAGGCTTCTCACAAATGAGCTTGTTGACGATTATTTTTTGGCGAGGGTTTGAACAACACCTGCCGTTTTTTTTTTTTTTTGCCACAGGTGGAGCGTTTCTACCTGAAGGTGGTCAACGACCTGGAGGGCGAGCTTACCGACCTTGACCCTACCGTGCCGATTCAGGCGGCCCTCGAAAGCCACAACGAACGCCACGCCGACCCGACCGCGGCGAGAGACAAGTCCCCCTGGGTCATGAAATGTGAGAGCCTGCAACAGCAGCAGCAGCAATAGCAGCAGCAGCGGTGAAGCGCAAGGGATATCGCCGCAAGGTCCGGGTGATGCGCTTGGTTGATTTGTGTGGCTTGGCCTGTGAAACGCGAAGTGTTTTGTTTGCTGTGCCGATGTTGGATTGGTCGCGAAAGTACCCTGTTGTGCTGGTGCACCGTGTCAGGGGAGGGGGTAAGTTTTGTGTGCGAGACTGCAAGGAGAAGAACGAGAGTGCTTTGCTGCCTGCGTGCGCACGCGGCACTCTCTTGTCTTGTAACGGCGTTGGTTTATTTTTTGTTTTCCAAGCGTTGCACGAGGCGGGTGCCTTACCTGCTTGGCGTGTGCTGGAAGATCAGATTCTCTCTCTCTCTCTCTCTCTCTCTCTCTCTCTCTCTGCTTTCTCTCTCTTTCTTTCCCCTCTGCTTTCCCCTCTGTTTTTCTATTGTCTGTCTATTTTGTGTCTCTAGCTTTAGCTCTAGCTCACTCACTCTTGATCTACCTCAACCTCTACCATTCATTTCTCTTATTGCACCCACGGATTTCTTGCACTCTCGAATTTCTTGTGCTCAAGCTCTTTAGTGGAAGAAGGAATGATGTCAGCGTGCCTAACGTCCGTGTTCGCTACACCCTTCGACCCTTAGGCGCCAAAACTTCCTCCGGCCTGTCCACCCCGCCGACCCTGAACCATTTCGCGCAGCGAAACCAAAGCTGGACAAGAAGAGAGAGGATTCTCTGAAGCGGGCACTTTTGGACCTGTACCGAGACCTGACCCTGCTGCAGAATTTCGCCATCGTGAACTACACGGCCGTCGTAAAGGTGCGCGGGGTGTTGAGAGCGCGTGCTTGCTTCGTGGTATGTGGGGGGGGGAGCGGGGGCGACGCGTTTTGCGTTTTCGGTTCCAGTTCCTAAGAAGCTAGTGAGCAGTGGACGAAGAATCTTAATTTCTCGAAGGCGAATGAATGGTTGGAGGCTGTTTTTCCTCAACAAAAGAAGTGGGTATCATCGCGTTGTGCACCAACTGCACTAACTTCCCAGAAGCGTGGCTAAGAAGTGGTGAGTTCGTTCCATTTTGTCGATGCGCCGGAAAAGAAGGAAATAGACAGGCAGCGCCTCTTTTTTTGCACAACTGACTCTTGTAGCAAAAGGACACAGCAATGGCGTGGTAGTCAGGTGTCGAGGCAGGGCGAATCCGCAGCATGTGATAGATATCAGATGCGTGTTCGTTGCAGTACGCAAGTTAGCGCGTGTGAGTTCATGATCGCTAGCCGTAACAGCGAGCAAGTGCTGATTTATGGTCGCTTTTTTTTTTTTGCTTCTTTCCGGTGGGGCACGATTTTGGTGCTTGTGCGCGCTTTCGTTGATGCTCGCAACCACGATAGAAAGCCTGTGATGTTGGACAGCAAGAAAGCACGGCCCCGTTTCAGAAAGGTTCACGTCGCCCCCCCTCCACGGCAGTTTGTTGCATGCACGGTCGGTGCCGTGTCATGTGATTGAGGTGAT